TCCTTTACAAAATATATACAGAAAAAAGAAATGCAGCACCAACAGCCTCCGAGTTCATGGGGTCTTTAAGGATTCTTATATCATTCTTCCCTATTGCTAATCTCTGAAAGACTGGAATATCGATTCACGTGATGAATTAGAGTTTACAAAACCAGAACTAGTGGAAGAGATTTGAAAATTATTGAAAATTGCAGGGCTTTCTTACTAGCCTAGGAAAAAAAACATTGCAGGCAATTACCTTGGCCCAGTTTCATTTTTCTGAAAGGTAAAATCTGAGAATAGCACAAACCCAAGGGCATTCCTCTGCAGATTTGCCCGTACTCTCCCCATCTCCATACTCTTCTTCCTGTCAGCCTTTCCTATCGTAGCTGCTGGTGCTCCCTGGGGCAGAGCAGAAAAGGTAACAATTTGGAAGAGAGGGAGAAACAAGGAGGTGAGACTTGTACCTAGTCAGTAGCTCTCCTTTGGGTGTTTAGAAAGAAAAGAGTTATTTTGTAGCTATCATAGCAGAAATTGGACCTTTGGGAACAGTAGTGCTTGGTTTTTATAACCTTGTGCGGTGGGTTCCAAAATTTCAGGGCCAGTCAGTCTACTACCAGGATGCAGCAGTTCTTGAGGGCTGTTGAAGTTTCATTGACAACACAGCCACTCAATGTAAGTTGGGTGCTCTTTGCAATTTGGTGGATATGGTGCAGATCATTTTCTGTGGCTGCGAGACCACAGCAGTCTCGGTTAGCACTGTATCTTCATACTAATTAAACCAAATGGACTTCTGAGGAAACTCAGAATTATTTTGTAGTTATATAGGAGCCCTCCTAGTATAGCATTATGAATAGTTTATGCCAATGCTTCCTAAACATAGAAGATAGGACCCTGAGTCAGAGTGGAAGGATAGCGGGGCACATCTTTGCTACAAATCGTTGATTATATTGGCTTTAGCAAATCTCTGGCAGTTGTAGTGGCTGAAGCCACTGGTTCAGGGATGCTTGGGGTCACAGAGAAAATCAGTGGCAGAACAGAGAAAGTTAGTTAGGTTTGAACATCTTTATCTGTTGTCTTAGTCATAAAACCGTCTTTTCTCTGTTACATCTGATCTTTTATAACCTTTCATGTGAGAAAAGCCTCGCAGGTTATCTGATAATGTGCCTGTGGTTTGGACAAGTTTCATAAAATCTGGGATACCTGTAACAATTTTCAGACTTTCTGTCTGTGAACGTTTAGATATTTGTTCATGTTACGTTTGTAAGTGTTTTCAGTGCCTCACGAGAAGCTGATGGAAGCTATGTGAAAACAAAATTTAGACAGACTGTAGATCAAGTCAGGGAGCCGTTACTGGGCCCTTGAGTAGAAGTCTGGCACTTTGTTCATCATGCACATTGCAATTAGCAAGATTAGTCATTTTGTGGGGTCTGGTACTTGCTGAGGGCTGCTTTTGTAGAGCAGAGTGTCTGCTGGCCCAATGGATCCTAGTCCTTGCCAGGGGCTATCAGAGAACTAACACTCTGCTTCCCAAGCACTGGTCGCAGAAATGCACGGACATGCACACACAAACATATGAGCCCTGCCATTGTCATTTTAAGTGGAATGGCAAATGTCGCTTGGAACAGGAACCATATTTTTCTTCCATTTTTGCTTCCTGTTACTAATCCAAAATAGAAAGATGTGAGTATTCAGACAGGCTTTTCTGCAGGAGTGCTAAAGAATCTGCATAAAATCCCTGTTTAGAAAGTGAAGCAGATTTCTATTCAGCCAAATTTGGTGGAGAAAAATACGACATTCTGCTCTCATTTGGAGATTTCATTTGGGATACGTTTTTCCGAGCCAGAGCTCATCCACCTTCTGTTTGCCCAAAGCTCATCCACATTCTGTTTTCAGCTTTTGAATCTTGCTGTATCTTTGCTCAGATAAAGTTCCTTTATTGTATGTGCTATTCTGCTGCATATAGGGCTACATTGACCTAACTGATCCCTGCACATTTCTTTCTTGAAATTATATTGACTGAATTTCCCAAGTAATTTCTGTTTAATTCTTCAACCATAATTGTGATATTTCCCTGAATTGTTGTCTTTCTCAGCATCTTTTCTGAATAGCTTTTCCACATTAGTCACGCTGATGCCAAAGACTGAGGTATTCTTTCACTTCCAGCTTACACTGGAATTACACTTACATCCCTGTTTAAACACGTGCCTTGGTATTGCCAGAAGTGAAATGGTAACAGGCTGGCCCAGGATCCCATGGGAATGCCTGAACATTTTGATCTCCGATGGCACAGCGAACTGACTCCTGCACAGGGAAGAAATTAGTTCCTTCTTTACTATTCACGTAAAGCAGCTTGCCCAAGTCCAACACCATGTGTAAACATTACAGCGCTTGAAAACAGCCACTGCTGCAATGCCTGCTGAGGACCTAGAAGCTTTAGCTGTGCCCCAGAGGCAGAGGCTATGATTGTCCTAATGGGTTTGCAGCTTTTGCAGTTCACGTGGGTCATGTGCAGTGGTCCACAGACAAGATGTGGGCAATATAAAAGACTATTGATGTGGTTTATGCCACAGATAATTCCTGACCTTAAGGGACTTACAGCTGATACTGACAGGTCTTATAAAAGCTGGTGGGCAGAGGAAGCAAAGAGTAGGATTCTCATTTGAATAGAATTTTCTAGAAGATGTTTTCTAGCACATGGGAAAATTCTAGCTGTCCCACAATGAAATATTTTGTCTCTGGTGACTGAGATAAGGTATATTTGCAGGCACAACAAGGAGCTAGTATGCTGTAATCCTGTCTGTGATGCTTTCCTTAGTGCACCTTTACTAGCCTGCCAAGGAGCTCATTCCCAGAAAGATGATGTAGATGAGAAGTTTGACATATCTTTAGCTTTTTCTCCAGGAGCTGGTGTGAACAGGAACACATTAATTATTGAATAATCCACTCAAGAATCCCAAATACGTTAGAAGAGGAAAAATACATGACCTCCTCACTCCCTGGATGCAATGGAGGGTGATTAATTCATTTAATTATGCAGCTTGCTGCAAGGTGCTGGCAGGGGTCTGGTCTGTGGCACAAATGTTCTGCTGAGCATTTAATGGACTTGTGATGTACGTGTCAGAGTCAGGTGCTTCAGCGTGACTTTTAGATACAGTCAAATGCAGAAAGAAACTTTCCTGTTGGAGTCTGGATTCCTTAATGTGTATCAGGGTCACAAAATGAAGCAACACTTACCTGCCTCATGCTGAGGATGTTCTGTCTCCTAGTTTTGAGTAATAAAATGTGTGGCAGAGGGTACGGTGCTCTGTCTGTGAGCTGTGGCAATGATCTGTCCACCTGTCAAAGTCAACATGGATCAGGCTGAGTGGAAAGAGGTGCTTTGCCGGGCTTTTCTGCAAAGAGAAGATTCTAAGTGTTTCAGGGTTGTGACATCCGGCAGTAAAAAAAGTGCAGTAGAAATGAAGAGAATTGCATCTTAATTGAAAGAAAAAACCCAAAATACTCCTACAGACAATGACAAACATGCTGCTCTTGTTCAGCTGTCTCAGTAAACATCAGTAAGCAGCTCTGTCAGATGCACAGGACTTTGCTGAGTGCACAGTCCCGTAGTGAGAGGCAGGTTATGTGACGCTTGAGACTAGCAAGCTAGTTTTGAGTAGTTTGGTAGATCCAAATAGGTGCTGAACTGTATAACTCAACAGCCAAACACTCTGCCTGCAGATCAGCAGCTTGGGAAGAATTATTCTGAATAAAACAAGGAGAACAAAAAGTAGTTTGTGTTTAGGGTATGATAGCAAGAAGCTGGGAAGCTGCAGCTGGCAACATTGAAGCTGTGCCTGTTGGTTTTGTGACGATCAAAGGCTTTGACAGGATAACTGATGTGTTTATCCACTCCCTGTTTCTAAGGGAAGAATTATTCTGAATAAAACAAGGAGAACAAAAAGTAGTTTGTGTTTAGGGTATGATAGCAAGAAGCTGGGAAGCTGCAGCTGGCAACATTGAAGCTGTGCCTGTTGGTTTTGTGACGACCAAAGGCTTTGACAGGATTAACTGATGTGTTTATCCACTCCTTGTTTCTAAGAAAGTACTTGGCATTTTACAACAGATAGAAAGTTAAAGGCACTTCCCCTGAAGTTAGTACTGTATGGGCAACCCCATGCATTTTCTAGGCCTCCATCACCACTTCTCACCTGCTGTCCTTTTGTCTCCTGGAAAAGACAAGGTATTTTTTTTCTATTCTATAGCTGGGGAAACATGATGGAAATTGGGTGTGGTGGAGCGGGCAGCTGCTGAGACCAGGACAGTGTCAACAGAGTGACAGTCTGCTTATCTTTACCATCTGCTGCCTCAGGTGGCTGCTTGGATTATTGTCTGTACCTAAGCCAAAACACTCCTAGAGCATTCACCAACGAGCTCAGCTATCTCTGGATAAGACATGAAAAGCTTACCGCTTCCCAGTTCTGGATAGCTGGGTCTTACCTGAGCAACAGGAAGGTTTTAAATTCTCCTTTTGTTTTCACCACATAAGGGGCTAATTAATGCTGAGGCCTCATAGGTATCACCCCATATTCTGTGTCCCACCAGGGCAAGTCATGCTTACAGAGTCTCGACTTCATTTACACTTGTCCTTGTGTCAGGCTGGCAGCGCAAAAGTCACTCTGGACCCTAGACACAGCCTTCATTTTGAGGAAGTGGTGGAGGGAAGCAGGAGCCCTTCACTGTTCCAGCTGAGTATATGCTACAGTAAAGAGGTTTCCGTAGTCTGCTTTCCAGGCCTTAGCCTAATAGAGATGGGAGAAGCCCTGTTAGGTCTAAGTGAATCTGTCTTTTCAGGTAGACTGTCCTACATGTCTTTAGGATAAAATACTGGTTATAACATAAGACTGCTTGGGAGAAGGTGTACTTTCTGTACGTTTCCCATGCTTGCAACTTAAGCATAGCCAAATTTGAGTCATAACTTGCCCCAGCTCATCTTTTAACTACAATGCCTTCTCTTCTTCTCTTTTTGGTCTCTAAAGCCAGCACTAGCCCTACATCAGGCCTTGGGACTGCTGCCATCATAGGCATTCTCATTGTTATCTTTGTGCTGCTCCTGGTGGCTGTGGATGTCACCTGCTACTTCCTCAACAAGTGTGGCCTGCTGATGTGCATTGCTGTCAATTTATGTGGCAAATCCGGCCCAGGAGCCAAGGGCAAAGACATGGAGGAAGGCAAAGCCGCCTTCTCGTGAGTACTGTCATCACTTATATTGCTCCTTCTGTTGATCACTGTGTCCCCTCAGCAACTCCAGAAAACAAACTGTTTTAGGGAGTTCTGGGTTCCTCATCTGTGATGGGAAGGTACTGAAAAGATGTGGGACAATGGAGGTTCTGCTTTATATTTCCAGGAAAGGGTTTCTTCAGCTTTGTCTCTGGGTTTGTCCTATTGCTGTTGGTAGCCATCAAATGGCTGGCTCAAATGCTGGGCATCACGGTGGTCTTCTGTGCTGTAGGTAATAACTGGAAGGGGGGAGTGACAAAAAGAAGTAATCTGCTTTTTAGGCCAGTCTGTTTCTGTCATTCGCTATCGACACTTGCAGCATGTCTTTGTAGGAGGCTACCTAGTGTGAATGGGAACCAATCTCTATGCCATTCCCTTGTTACAGGAAAGATGAGTCCAAGGAGCCTATTGTGGAGGTGCGGACTGAAGAGGAGCGGACACCCAACCATGATGGGGGAAAACACACAGAGCCCAATGAGACCACCCCGCTGACGGAGCCAGAGTATGTTGCCATTAGTCAATCTTAGCACAGGGTCAATACATTGCCCTCAGTTGCCTTAATCCCTGATCTCTCATGTCCATGACTTAGGGCAGGAAGAAAGGTAAAATCTCCACACTCCATTTGTGACATATCAGTAAGGAAATGCCTGCTCTCTTCCCCAAGATTCAGTGACTCCTATTTCCAGCACTGGAAGGGATTAAAGCAATGTTTTTTGAAAAGCCTGTTTCTGCCAGTTCTGTCCATTGTGTAGATCAGGCACCTGTCCAGGTTCACTGCAAAGGATTCAGAGCAAAAGCAGCTCCCAGCTGGCACCAGCTCCTTCTTGAGCTCTGCCCTAGTCATGCTGGATGAGTGCTTGAACCCCCATGGTGAAAGCAGTCCTCTCTACTGATAGCAGCAGAGTAGCTATGCTCTGGATGTTGAGGGAGGCATGGCAAGTTTGATTATTCTGTGAGAGGGCTGAGTGCTACCTCTAAGCTTTGTTTATATTGGAGAACTTGTTTGGGGCCTGAGTGTGTGAATCCATGTTAGCTGGGATTGGCAAGGTTTAAGTATACCCCACTGTCTACATTAAGCTCTTTCCTAAACCATTGCAGTTCCAGTGTCTTCTGAGTACTTCACCATAGCTTCTGCAGTAGTAATGGGAGGCGTTCGCTTTAGGAAGCTGCTGAAATGTTTGTTAATATTTAGGTCACGTTTGGTATTGATGACACAAGTTGGGTTCCTTTCCTTCAGCAGAGTCATCACAGTGGTGAGGTGGTCAGGGTCTTCCACCCTCATACTGCTCACCTCCTTTGATTAGGTTAGCAGTGGGGCCCACTGGTAAAATGGTTCTGCTGGAAGTCTCTGTGAGGTGAGAGGAGAAAGGATGCTATGTCCACAAGCAGCACTGAAGTGTGGACACGCAGCACTGAGGAATAGCTGGGACTTAGATTGTCCTGATTGTCTTGGCTAGTCTCACTAGAGTTTTACCTCAATTATCCTCCTCTGTGAAGGTTTTCTCTCTGTTAATAAGCCTGAGATGGTGTTCTCAGGCACACCAGCTTCTCATGGAGTAAACCATTTGTTTTTCCAGCCTGGCATCCGTGTAATTGTTAAGGCAACCAGTGCTACATCATGGCTGCTAAAGCATAGTTACACTATCAAGACACTGTGCTAAAGCAAACTTTATTCCAGCTAACACAACAGGCTGGAATCTGGTCAAAACAGCAGAAAAGATCACCTCAAAACTGCATGTATGTATGTGTATGTACATATATGCATTCCATGTGTGGGTGAGAGAAAAAGAATTATATTTTGTGTGGTTTGATGAAGGCCTTAGACTTGAAGGCAAAAGGACAGGGCCAAGATGAGGGACTGGATTCAGGGGTCCCACACTGGGACGTTGTTGCATCGTGACAGATGGCACAGGGCTGCAAGCTCAGGGAATTGCTAGAAAGCTTCCTTGTGAGGTTAGGTGGAAGAGGCTGAGAGGAGAGTTAGGCTAAAAGAGAAGAGTCTCTGCAAGTTGACAGGGTTACATTTGGCTAAGACTTGAATCAAAATCTGCGTGAGCAAGCCATTCCTGAAGGATGTGTCGTCCATGCTTTTTCTCTTCCTAGCTATTCTTCAGTCATCCCAGCCAGCCCTTGCTACCCGATGCACATTTGACCTCTGAAAGGTTTCTGCTCCTCTGAGTACCTCTCCATGTTCTGTGTGTGTTGTAATCATATGCCATACTGCTGCTGTGTCACTCACCTGCCGTCTCACTCTTACGTTCTGCTCCCCTTTCCCCTGCTGTCATTTACAGGCTTCATTGTCTCTATTTCTCTCCTACTCCTGTCCTCTTCACAGGCACCCCGCCGATACTGCAGCTACTGTTGAGGACATGCTGCCTTCCGTAACTACAGGCACCACTAACTCTGATACTATCACTGAAACTTTTGCCACTGCTCAGAACAGCCCTACCAGCGAGACCACTACGCTGACCTCCAGTATTGCCCTGCCAGCCGCGGCCATTCCTGACTCAAACTCCATGTCGCCTGGCCAGGCTACTCCAGCCAAAGGGGCAGCCTCCTCAGTCTCTTCACCACCACCCTCCTCCACCCCTAAAGTGGCCCCTCTTGTTGATCTCAGTGATACCCCAAGCTCTACTCCAGCTACTAATAATTTGTCTTCAAGTGTCCTGTCCAACCAAGGTGCAGTGCTCAGCCCCAGCGCTGTTGCTAACGTGGCCGAGACCTCCAAAGTGGCAGCTAGTAACAAGTCAGCTGCCCCAAGCCCTGCAAACCTCACTAGCCCTCCAGCTCCTTCAGAGCCCAAGCAGGAGATCTCAAGCACCAAGAGCCCTGAAAAAGAAGCTGTGCAGCCCAATACAGTGAAGAGCCCAACAGAGACAACCAAGAACCCATGCAATCTGAAGAGCGAGGCTGCTTCAGGCAGCACCGTAAACCCCTCCCAGAATGAGGACTTTAAAATGGACGAAGGGACCTTCAAGACACCAGACATTGACCTTGCAAAGGATGTTTTTGCAGCTCTTGGCACTGCTACTCCTGCCAGTGTGAATAGTGGGCAAGCTCGTGAGCTTGCTTCTTCCACTGCAGACAGCTCTGTACCTGCTGCACCTGCAAAGACCGAGTATGGCTGCCTTTAATCTTCTGTTGGTTGCGTGCTGTGTCTCTTGTGCACTGGTGCTTGTACTGTGTTCTTCTTGGGTGTTCTCTTAACTAATCTCATTGTTTTCTTAGCAAACTAACTCACCTGTGAACCACCTAAACAGGGCTTGGCTTTAAAGGTCCAGGAGGAAAGCAGGAATAGGCTGTGCCAGGGAAGCGGAGAAAAGACAAACCCAGGAATTCTTTAGACCTTTATGCAGCTTTGTCTATGCAGCTTTGTCTATTGTAGGTTATTTATTTTATGAAAGAGATCAGAAACTGTTCAGTTTGAACAGCAAAAGAAGTGCTGTCCTCAGAAGTGCTGAGTTCCTGCAATTCAGTGAGCAGAGCTACCCAAATGCAGTTTCCTAACAGATCAGTGGAGCCCTTCAGAACTTATTTCAGTGTAAGGCAGGGCAGAAACTAGAGCCATGTGAAACTGTAAAAGCACGGTACCTCTGTATTTGTCCCTAAACTGGCAAAAGGATAAGACAATGTGATCGTGTCTGAGAGACAGGGAGCAGTCACAGCATCGTTGGGTCAGGAAAACTTGACAGTGTGTTGTCCTGGTATATTAAGAGATGAGTCTCCATCCACTCTACCGGGTCTTCTCTTTACCCACCTGATTTATTCAGAGAGCATCAGCATGCTCCTGGGCAGGACAACCCTAGGGGTCCTTTGGAGCCTTACATCATCTGGACAGGATCCACATTCCTCAGCTGAGTCTGCACCTTATGTTTGGCAGGAGACACTGTAACTGGAGAGTGCAAACAGCATGAAGTCCCACACCTGGGTAACCGGGAGGAGGGTCCCCAGCTGTTGTGCAGATGTTGGACAAGAACACTCTTGCTGTGTTGGTTTAAGTGGCAGTTACTGACAGAGCTGTGAGCACAGAAGCCTGGAAAATGCTGACTGAAAATGGATAAGGCATCTGTGAGGGGACAAGTACCTAAGGTTCCTGTTCCTTCTGACTTCCTATTTGGATACCATGCTTTGGTAGAGGCAGGATGAAATAGAAGGAGTATCTTGCCTTTCCTGTGTGAGCAGGGTCTGTGCTTTATCATGAGAGACTGTCCTGAAAAGGCAGCTCAGATTTGTTGTGGGAGCAGCTCCCAAAATCAAAAGACTGAGTTTGCACTGCATCTTTAGCTTTTGCAAAGGGGAGTGTATTGAGGACACTGGGCTCTGCAGTGTCAGCTAGATTGCTGCCAAGAACCTAACTAGCTATTTTAGAGCTGGGTTCACAGCTCACTCAGACAAATCTTGCTATAGCAACCACGCTGGAGACATATGCTAAGTCACAGCTTTGGTTAGAACTTTTTCCATCCTCACATCTCCAGGAAAATGACCTCATTCTGGAACCTTTGTATTTAATCCAAAATAATGCATTGGCCTTGGCCATTGCCTTTGACACTGTGATTGCAACGTATATTAGGGCTCACAGAAGAGCAGTCAGTCAGACACTGTAGAGCCGAGAACCAGGCACTTTTCCCAATCTGAGTGAAAACCCATGCTGTTTTACTGTGTTTTTCAGGTGCCTTATCTTACAGCTCTGGTCCCCCACCTCCCTGCTGTGCTCCAGTCCTCCCCTAAGTCGGGAGACGCTCCTGCCGTGTGACTGTTCCACAGTACTGCCTTGTGCCCCACATGGCTATGGAGCATCTGGCCCTTCCTGGAAAGCCTGGGTGACACAGCAGATGCACTAGGGCTGCAGGGATCCAGACAGCCTTGATGGGTGCAGCTGAGCTGCTCCCAAGCAGAGAAATCCATGTGCACTTCAGTTCACTGCACCTAAAGCCACTGCCCTGTCATGCTGGGTGCTACAGAGAGGCAAACAGAATAGAGAATTGTGATCTGGTATGGTACCAAACTGAAAGGAGGTGGGAAATGGTTTGCCCATAGTAAGAAAACATTTTAACTGAATTAATGCAACTTGGTCTGTGTTATGTTAATGAATTCTTGGTATGGTGGAATGCAGAGCTGTGTTCTTTCTGCCAATCCAGCCACCTTCTCCTACCTCTGCTGCTCATCTGTGTCATCTGTTTGCTCATCTGGGGCAAATCAGTATTGCAACTATAGGCGTAGATTCATCTCACCTGCTCATCAGGGTGAATTAAGATTGCGGTCATCTCAGACTACCTTTGTGGCTAATGGACTTCGGGGGGGGGGCACCAGATATGCCTTGTGTGGCACTTTTCATGACTATGAAGAGAGCATTGGGCAAACAGGCTTCTCTGATCCTTCAGTAAAGTGCCAAAAGACAGGGTGATGAACCTGAGCTTTAGCCTGTGAAGATGTTGACCTCTGTTACACTTGTGAAAATGTATTTGACAAAGTTCCCTACTTCTGTGTTGCCCTTCCTGCAACATACTGGGAAATTCTGGGACTAAAGATTTTCTGCTAAAATGGTGATCTATTTTAATAGGGCATTTGGGTGGCACATAAGTGAGTGACGGTAAAATCAAATTCCTTTGCAGCTGTGTGAGGTTTTCCCTTTTGCTCCTTTTTTCACACCACAACATGCCTTGCACCTCTGCTGCAGCCTGAGACTTCATCCTGCTAGTATCTTAACTCAGGGCAGGAAGAAAATCAAACAAAGATTTCACTGAAGCTGGGGTGGGGGGTGAGTTTGGTTTTACTTATTTCTGCATCTGGAAATGCTCATTTTGCTCTAGTGAGGCAATGTATTTGCTTGTTTCCAGAAACATATTTTTATGGCTAATACAGCAATAGACAGTCTATATTTCTTTGTCTCTAAACTGTGCCATTTTGGTGATTCTTCTTCAGGAAAATCCCAGTAGAAGACAAATCTGAAGTGCAAGCAACGGAAACTAAGACACCTCCAGCAGAAGTCAAGACGGTCCCCAATGAAGCCACACAAACAAATGAAAATGAGAGCAAAGCATGATCAGCAACAGATGAAAACAAATGACAGAACAACTTCACCCAAGCATTTAAAACACAAAACACAACACACATCTCATTCCTCTAGTGTCTGTTGCCTTTTTTAAAAAACAAACCAAGCAGAAAATGCATAAATGGGGGGGGAGGGGGAGGGAATATCTCTTTTTCTTTTCTTTACTTTTCTTCTCTTTTTTTTTTTTTAAGATTTCTAGAAAGGTCCTATTTGTTGTGCACTTGCTTTTAAAAAGTAATACATTTTAAAAACAGGGTTAAACCCATAACCAAGTCAGGGCTTAGCTGACCCTGTGTATATTCAAATAAGCAAAATTGCAAATGCCATTTGTAACGTGGTCGGGCAGCTCAAAATCAACTAGTCCTAGACAAAAAAAAAAAAAAACCAACACAAAAAAACAACCCTGTTCTTTCCTTTGTTAGGATAGCAGATATAACCACTGTACTACTTGTTACAGCTGGTACTTAAAGAACAAAGTCCACAATTTATTTTTATACTTTTCAGTCGAGTTTGAAATATGTAAAGCCTCATAAATAAGTTATAATTTCTGTTCACCTTGTATTTGTTCAGTATGCAAAGTGTCTTGAGCAATTTGTGACTGAATTCTGTTCTCCACGTTAGACATTTATTTGGGTTTTATTATTATCTTTTTTTAGGAAGAATGCCAAAATTGCAGCTTCGGGGATATATTTCGATTTGCAGTATTCAGACTCTACATTTCTTTAAATTTTATGTTAATTTTGCCAACTTTTGTTCTTTCCAGTGTTTACAATTGACAATTTTTTTAACTTTTGTTGTGTTTAAATGTATGTGTAAAATAGCTGCCTTTTTTTTTTTTTTAAGTAAATGCAGTCTATAGATACTAGGTTAGCAGCATGCTTGCTTTGCAAAGGGAGACATTTTAAAACATGGATGTTTACATTAGTTGTTTCCCCTTTATCTTTTCTTAATTATTGTTGTTGTTGTTATTATTATTATTATTTCTTACTGGAGTAAGAAGAAAAGTAATGCTGGGTTTTGGGTTGGGGTTTTTTGGGTGGGGGGGTATTCAAACCACTTGTCACCAATTGAGGTCTTTATCCAGCAATCCACATAAACACACGCTTAACTTGGAATGAGAGAGGTGCTGGTGAGAGTCCTTCTATACTTAAATTTAGTAAGCGTTTAAGTCCCTTGCTGGACCTGGGCCTGACTGCATAAGAGAAATATAATCTCTGCTTTTTTAGGACATTCTCCCCTTTCCTTCATGGAACCCTCCCGGAGCTTTGAGAAGCAGAAGGGAGATTGTACAGTTAGGGCTGGTCTGGTCTCATCTCTGATGTTTGACTGTATCAATTCCTCCTAAATATGTCAGTAAATACTGTTTCCTTTGACCCTAGAAATCTGATTTAAAAGCAAAGACTTTTTGCACAAGGGTGCTCGGCAGCATGCAAGACCTCTCCTGCAAAGCTGGCTCTATCAGCAGTTGGCCTAGATGATTGTTGTAGGTCCCTTTCAACTGAACTATTCTATCACATCATGTGTATTGAGTCATCCATATATGCTCTGCAGAATCAAAACCACAAAATCAAGAGCAGATGCTTGGAAATCGCTGCCAAGACTCCCATTGTTTTCACTTGTCTTGGTATCATGTGTTTAACAATTGGAAAAGGGGGCTGATACAGTATGTTTATTGTTATGGAGAGGAGGTTATTATTGGGAGTCATGGAGTAACACTGAAATTTTGGGGTGAAAAGAAAGGAGGCTTGAGCAGAAGGAAGGCAGAGGTATATAGAGGAAGACCAGCCTGTTGTATAGAGATGTTCCTTCTGTTGGGGTTTTGTTTTTTTTCTCTTTGTTTTGTTTTGGTTTCTTTTCTTTTTTTATTCTACTTTAGATCTGCCAGCTTGTGCACTGTGGGTGCGTGACGACTTTAGTGTGAAACGTGTTTTTTGTCATAGTATTGAAATAATAAAAGCTTCAACATAGTTTGGATGTGGAAGGTGTAGCGATAGTTCAGATTTGACAAAAAAATATTCAGGAAAAAAAGAGAACAACTCTTACAAGGAACAGAAGCCTTTAAATAAAAAGTCAGATCGAGCTGATTATGGCATCCATTCCGTTGTGCTAAGGTGATGAACAGAAGGATGGTGGGGGGGGGTGGGTTGACTGCAGTTTGGCTCAGGTAAATTGAGCCACTTATATTAGTGTGTTCTTCTAAGTATGCAGTCTTCTATGGTGGCATCACATAATTTCAAACTGTGAAAAATAATGGTCTTGTCATTTGCTAAGTGTGGGGGGGTTTGCATTTTTTCCTTAGCTCCTGGGATGCAAATGGAGGATGACTGGATATGCAGGCATAGACACTCATGCAATACCCATCCAGAGCAGGATATTGGGGCAGGACGGGTCCTCACAACAAAGCCTTGTGTCAAATTTGGCCTTTGCATGAGCCATCACAGCAGTATCGGTTATAACTACAGGGAAGTTTGGCCCACAGTCCCTAGGATTTTTTTTCAAAGGAATTGTCCTGGTTTTGGCAAGGATAAAGTTAATTTTGCCAGCTGGGGCTAAACCATGGCAGGAATCAATCTGTAAAATGCAGGACAAAAAGATACCATGGTCTGTCTATGGTTGGGGAGAGTCCTTGGGACAGCAGAGGACTAGTGGGCGGGCAGTGTGTACCTCCATTCTGTGGATGACCACAACAATTTCTGTAAAGTTTTTAACTGCTTTTCTCTGTTATATTTCCAAAGTTATAACCCGCTGAGAGTTGAGTAGCTGATAAGTAATCAATGCTGTACAATGCTAATGACCAGAAACATGTGCAGTGACACATGTCACCCAAAACTTGGGTCAACATGGTGGTAACTGTCACCTGGAGTGGCATTTCTGTGATAAAAGGTAACCACCTTAAAGCCCAGTTGAACACCCAGTTGCATCATTAGGGAGTACCCTGCTGACTGCAGTGGGTTTGTGTAAAGATCAATGGAGTGAGCACCATTCCAAGGCAGAAGTGAACCCTGTGATTGCCTGAACACTGGGAGTGTCCATCCAACTCCTTTTTAATGCCCTCATGACACCTCCCAATACCTGTAGATTAATTCTGGAGAGAGGTTTTATACTCGTCCTCCATGGAGAATAATTTGTTTTAATTTAGAAGTACCCCATTTCCAAGATAGCTTAGGCTTCATTGCTTTTTTTTTTAAAACTTTTGAAGAGGGACCAACCTGATGCTGTTTACGCTGTATATGTTTATATATGTATCCATGCCATACATATATATCTATATGGCAATGCAGACTGATCAGCTTCTAGTTGTGGAGTAATTACATTTCATGCTGCACCGTATGTAAAGATGATAAGATAATAGTGCATCCAGTTGTTCAGCTTTTAGAGTGGAGCTTTATTTTCACACTTTTCTATGGAGCCTTCAAACCCCAGATTTTCACACTAGGCTGTTTTGATAGTTGTTCTCAGACCCTCCATTGACATCCTTACCCAGCATTCCCTACTTTTGGGGGCCTTCTATCTTGTTAAAAAAACAAAAAAACAAAAAATCTTTTTACCAAGTGAAACATCGGTTCCACCTTTATTCCCATTCTCACTGGTGTAAATACTGATACTAACTGAGGATTTTGACTTTGCATTCTGTCAGAATACTGTGTTCAAATAAAAATTACCAAAAAAGCATATGCGTGCAGTCTGCCCTTCTTCACATGCTCTGCTAGTCCTGTATACAGACATGGATTCCCAAGGCTGTATTTGCATGTGAGCTTAATGCGGAGTGAGTGGTCCCATTGTGGCATGCCCACAGCATGAGTTCAGCATCTTTCTGAGGCTCTGGGCTGTACACAAGCAGGAAATCCAACTGTCTGCACAGTGATGTTAGTGAAGCAGTCATGCTGCATGGTTCAAGCTAGTACATCTCTGAACAGTGGCAGTGGGCTGCTATAGTGCCTTTCCAAACTGGATGTGCCGAAAAAACACCTGGCAGCATGAGATTCCACTGATGGGCTCTTCTGAAGTGCTGAATGTCTCACAAAGAGGAGTATTTCTAAAGTTTGTTTCTCTGTTCCACAGTAGATAACTTCCTTGAGATAACTATCACACACATGCAGTTACATGTCCACTGTCAATCAGGGACAGCTGGATTTCTCCTCTGTTGACTGAAAGGTGGGGTGGATGCATGTGTGTGTGTGTGCGCTTGCGTGCACATGACTGTTGGCTTTGAAAGATGTCCTTAACCCATTCTGAATTGGGTGTCCGAACTTGATTAATGTGGGATGAAGCTAATTAAATTCTGTCCTAAGCATTGGTCTCCCAGGACACAGAATGAGAAATGAGACCTCTGATACATATCAATACTTGGGTGACAGAATTGTACACAGAAAAAGAAGAAAGTAAACCTATTGAGCTAAAGTACTTGTTATCCCAAGAGAGTACCCCTCTCCTTTCTGCTGCTTCTCCAGTGCTTTGCCCTCTATTCTTGACTGCTGTTTACGCTGTGGTTTACAGTAAGACAGTATTTCAGCAAAGCTGTTGTGATTGGCCCTGTATTCTTTGGTACTACTGCTTTAGAAAAGGCTGTCCTAGGAAAAGGGACAGGAAAAATGCACGGGAAACAATCCATCTTCTTGGTGGGTTCTTTCATCAGGTGTCTGTCACTGCAGAATTGCTTTTGAATTCACATTCCAGATTCATGCTCTCAGCTCCTTTATAGCTGTCATTTTTCTTTCATCAAAATTCCTGACTTCCGTCTCCTGACTCTTTTACACAGTTTGTGGAGCTTTCCCAGCCTGCTTTGTTCTTGAAAAGAATTCCTCCTTATTCCAGTCGATGGCATACAGACGGCAAAATCGTTCTGTATTCAGATACTGCTTTCTGCTTTTTTTATACTGCATGTTTGCAATACTGCATTTTTTTTGTGAGAACCCACTGTGAACAATGGAGAGTGGGCGGAAGTGGTACAATGTCAGTCCTCCACTAATGCGCACATGTGCAATTGTATTGTACAGCTTGCTTCTGCAGGAAAGTTGGAAGGTCAAAGGATGC